TTATATCAAAAGAAGTTTGGGAAACATAAGCATGGCCATCATTTGAATTTAATTTTACTTAGTAACTGATATACATAAATATAACAGTAATTCACCAATAAATTTATTATATTTTTATATATTTTTATCAAAAACGGCACTTAAAATAATTAAGTAAATACTACAAAACACGCTCGCGCCAATCGCATGTATTGACTACTTAGGTACTACTTATAAACAAAAGTTTACTAGTTCACTTAGTTGCGTGCGCTACAAAGTCTCCAGCCCCCTGTCCCGAATGACCCCTACCGTTGCTCTGCACGTTTCCTGTTTGACTATCTTTAAACTGTGAAATTATGAAGTTTGTACTTCATTAGAACATGTGTTATTCTTAATCACTTAATTAAATTCGAATTTTTCAAATAAAGCAAAAATACACATTTTAACCAGCAGTAAGCAAAAAACATGTTATGGGTAAACTGATAAAGTTAAAGTTTTGAGTCAAGCGGTTTATAAGTTCTGGCATCAATGTATACAAAACTGTTATCTATTACCAAAACTAAGGAATGGATATTGAAATCTCTTAAAAATCGAACACTGTTGGTACCAATTTTCTCGATTGTCAAAAGGTCAATCTTAGATTTGTTGCATTGTATAACTTAGTGGTTAGCTTAATTTTTTACTTAAAGATACTAATACGATAAAATAATTACGTTAAGAAATGAAATAATCAATTTAGTAAGTTAATTTCGAGACTATTTTATATTATTAAACAATATCGAGACATAATATTCTGTTCTAAAGACACTTATAAATTTTATAAAAAAAAATATCAAAATTTGTATAAATTGTATTAACATTTATTTATTTGAAATAAAAATATTAAATATTTTTACTCACAGTAATATATTATTACTTTTGATACTACTGAAAAAGTCTTACAAGGTTTATTGTGTCAGAGTTCTGACAAATATAAATATGTAGGAGCGGTTTATAACATGAAGTAAATGGAACGTAAAAGATATTTGATGGTATGGTATTTGTACTATATTCTAAACTTTTTGTGTATATAGTATACAATTTAGCGTACATAAAACAACATATTTTCATATAATCCTTCCCTATTATAGTAAAACTGTCAAAAATTAGCATACTGGTATTGTCTTAAGTAATAATAATTAATGTCACAAAATTTAAATATTCATTAAGAATTATTACTAATTTCATAACGCTACAAAAAATATTTCTTTCCCGACACTTACACCATTTTTCGTTAATATTATCATAAACCTCAATAATAAACATTAAACTATTGTATTATAGCTAACTACAAAATATTATATAAATCAGTAGATATTCGCTTGGAAACTTGTATAAAATTAAGAAATGGAAACGCAATACATTAATACATTGAACACAAAACAAAAAAGCACTATGATATAACAAATAGAAGCAAAATGCATTGTTTGCCAAAATCGCCTGCAAAAGTGAAATGCTTAGATAAAGACAGTGAAATTAGAACGACTATTGACAAGCACATCAAAGTGTTTGTTGTTATTGAAATACTTCTTCGCGAAGGCAGCGCGACGCCTAAGTTGTTGAGTCATGCATATTAAAACTGTAGCTTAACACAAGTTGTGGTGCTCAGCGCCAGAACTAAAACAACCAGAACGATGCCCCCGCTCCTCTGATACGAGCCTTGGAGCCTATAAGACCTTTATCAGGTCATAACCACCTCCTACCTCATAATGATTTCTTATATTTTTACGGATTTTATCGAGTTTAAGTTTACAAGTAAATTTAAACGCGATAACATACATAAAAATAGTTTTATTCAAAAGATCTAGAAGAAGACGAAGAAAGAGCGCAACACACAAAGGAAGCCTAATAAGTCGAATGGGAAGCATCCTTCCTTTCTGTGCGGTATGCGCTGAAGGCAGCGTGAAGAGAGACGGCACCAACTAAGGTAAGGTTGTTCGTTCACTCAATGGTCACAACTTAACACTGTACGTGCAAACCAACAGTACACGTATTGACGTGTGGCGTCAAACTACGGGTATCAGGGATACCCAATCCAAAAGAATGTTTGAGATGAGAACGTCACGGTGTTCAGCGCAAGTTTACTTGACAACGACAATACAATCAACTTAATGTTTAAAGTGGTACATCTAATGCTATTTCGTCAACAACGCATTTTGTCGTCTATTATTAGAATCCACCACCGCTAAAGGTGATGCTACAAAACTCCATTGAGCTACATCGGTCTTGTGGCACAAAATGCCGCAAAATTACTGCGATGAAGTAATGCGTCGCAAACGCAACGCGAAGAAACACACACAAAAAATAACAAAGAATTTCTAGAAAATAACAAATAAATATAAAAAAATGTCATTATTTATTATTTTTATTTATATTTATGTATATAGAATTCTTTGAATACAAAGAAGTTTATCCTATTTTAAATCAATGTATTACAAAAAGAATCAAAATTCAATTTGTTAATGGAAAAAAAATGGATTTCATAAATGGTGAAACCCCTTTTTTGAACTTAAAAATAGTAAATATTTTTACTTACAGTAATACATTATTGTTTTTGATTCCAATGAATAGGTCTTAAAAGTTTTGTTGTTAGAGTTCTGGCAGATATACATATAATATTGGTCTATGAGCCAATGAGCGGAAGACTTAAGATTTTAATAAGCACGTTTTTTTTCAGTTAGTCCCCTATACCTGAAGTACCTACATGAAATGGGGACTCTTTAGTTTGACCGACGGTTGAAATAGAGACGCTTAGTTTTAAAAAGTGTAAAAAATGACAAAAAAACGTGAAAATAAAAGTTACCGAAAACTAATATTGGCAGACAGACACCTATGGCAGTTTCAAAGTCATGGCAAATATGTTAACAAGTACAAATTTTTTAATAGTTTACGTTATTTCAATAAAGCTGCAATTTATAAATGTTGTTGATACTTAATATTATTTTGGCCATGCAAAATACATTTATGTCAAATAATTGGAACTGCCATAGGTCTGCCAATGTTATTTTTCGGTAACTTTTATTGAATATTTCAAGATGTCAATGCGGCAGACTTTCACGTTTTTTTCAGTCATTTCTTTACACCTTTCACACCTGAGCATCTATAAATCAACCGTCGGTCAAACTAAAGAGTCCCCATTTCATGAGACTAACTGAAAAACATAATAAAGCGCTCAGAGAAGATGCATGGAGAGAACTATGAAAGCGGCAGCTGATCGTACAGGACCGACATCCATGTTGAACGGTCAAACACTGGTACAGCTGCCGCGCGCATCAGGCGCGCTTAGTTGATATACTTCGAACATTTGCAACGCGTTCCGTGGAACGTACTGGTCGACGCGGTCATTCATGGCGCGCGCGCCAGGAGGCTTAATCGATACACGGCTTAAGTCTGCCACCCACTGGCTATTAAACTATATACAAACGGAATATGAGACGTTGAAAGAAACGAAACGTTACGTAACGTTTTGAAATAACAAATACGACGAGTGCCACGTAGCGGACAGGTTTAAAAAAATATTGTCAGTTTTATTTCGATTTGAAAATAAAATTATAAGAAAATTCCTCGTTCTCACTGAACAAGGTTTATTTCAAGACCCATTATTATATTAGACAATATTTATATTAAATTTGATGTAAGGTAGACTTAAGTACTGTACAATTAAAGCATCATTTCGAAAACGCGTACTGTGTTATTAAGCATAAGTAGCAGGTCATATTAGCTTTCACTAGAGATATCATTTACTCTTACAATTAATTACTGTTTGTAAATATCACAAATATTTTAAACGGAATATAATCATGTTATGTTCTGCATTTAATTGATTTTTTTTTGTCTTATTAATATAGTATGACAAAAGGCAGGTCTGCTCTTTCAATTATTTTAATTTGAAGGTGATAACACTGAAATATTAGTTAATAAATAAAATAGCAAGGCTAACAAGACGAGATAAAGGACGTCAGCAATCTGTTATTTAATGAGTTGCATTACAACTGGGTGTGATTACTAATTAACACATTCGTCTTTGCCTTCCTAAGCAGTAGTGGTTAGGTATTTCGTAGTACTGGCAAGGTTCTGTGAATTACTTAGTTTTAGATTTAATTGTGTGATCGGCGAAGATGTGATTAACGTTGGGGCCACTATTTGATAAAATATGTTTGTTGATGTATGTTTGCTGTTTGTTGTGATAAAATTACTGCGGGCAATGATAGTTTTTGTGGTGAATTTTATTCTTTGACGTCATAATTGACAACAAATTATTATAAACTTTACTTTCACGATGATAAATATGACTGATTCTATCTCTAACAAGCGGGGTTAACCGAGTTGACTTTCTACAATCATTAACCTTTAGAAAATTATAAAAATTAATAGGAATCACATGTATCAACGTTAAGTTACGTTAACTTATCGTTGATTTCATTTATTTTTTCTATTAAAGTTGACGTCTGTACAACGTCAACTTGGCTGGTAAGTTCAAAGATATCTGAAAAACACATGACAATACTTAGTGCAGGGAATTTTAATTTTTTTCCCATTTGCGACGACACGACAGACTTTTTGATTTTGTTTATAAATAAAAAATTGTTTGCATTCGTTTTCTCGCCTTGTTAGACTTAGTACAAAATTTTAATAATAAGTGTACAATTATTTAAAAAGATATCAAAAGTATATTAAATATATCTTATGGTAAATATAGGTAGGCATAAATATATGATAAATCTTACATTATAAATCTCTTAATAAAAAAAAATATTTTTAACAACGATATACAGTGTTATTACTTTAGAATCCATTTAATATATTTCAATACATCTTGTTATATTCTGTTGTGTATTTTTTTAAATTTGTTAGTAGAGATTTATATGTACCTTCTCGTATATACATTTCAAAATGGAATATATATATATATATATATATATATATATATATATATATATATATATATATATATATTAAAAAGAATATTATCACAGTTAAAGTTAGCAATACTTCTCTTTGAGGGTTCTTCTCATAATCTTACCGGCTGGATTTTTCGGTATCTCCTCTACGAATTGAACCTCCTTAATATTCTTGAACGCAGCAACTTTATCGTTAACATACTGTGACACTTCCCCGGGCTGCAAAGTTGCACCCTTCTGAGGAACAACAAAGGCTTTTGGTGCCTCCCCGGTGATTGGGTCTGGTATACCCACTACAGCGCAGTCCATTATTTTCGGATGGGTCCTTAGAATTGTCTCTATTTCAGCTGGTGGTACTTGGAAGCCCTTTCACCTAAAACAAAAATAACATACTGAAAGCCATAACAAGCCAGACATGTGAAAACCGGGACTGAACGCTCGCTGTAAATTTACTACTAACCGTACATTTACAATAACTCGTAACACCTATTTATTAAACCTTACACTCATCATCACCATTGACGGGTGTAAGGTTTTTAGAAAGCCTGTATAATAATATACGTTTTTGTTTGAAGGTAATAACGGCAGACAGAAAGTTAGTGTAATAATTATAATATGGTAATAACTGATTTCATACATAAAAAACAAGCATGATGTGATCCATATCACCTTTTTTAGAATCGAATAGTGAAGAGGCTAAAAATTTTATGTTTGGATCAGGCATGACTTCAAAACGGAAAAATCACGTCGAAGAGACGGCCGAAAGCACCGAGACCTCGAGGACATTATACGTCTTGTTAAAGAAATTGACCCGATATGACACCAATTTCTGCCACACAAGACTTGCAAAAACTGCCTACTGTATCTTTTGGTCACGTCGATGTCACTAAGTTACTAAAGGATATAGTGCTTATTCAAAATGAACCCATGATAAATAATATACGTATAGAGTTAGATAATATAAAGTTAACAACGGCAAGTAATTATACAAATATAAATACAAGAAAAAGTAACGTAGATTTTATGGAAAGCGGGTCGGTTGGCTTATCATTTGACAACCTCGGTGACACACCGACGTTGCAGCAGTGAATCATAATGCAGTTTATCCGGCCTGTTCGCAAGCGTCGATATGTGTGAGCCTATGACGGCGCTTTACAATACACTTTCGATTCAAAATGCGCGATTTAATTCGATTCAAAATACGATGGCTGAAATGGTACGGAGGGATGTCGTTTGGAAACAAAAATGAGAGAATGATAATGAATGGATGCTCGTAGAACATAAAAGAAAATATAGAAATCGCTTTGTACGTCAAAAATGTAAAGCGTTAAATAGCGATTCGAAGTTTAAGGCTGCAGAAATTAAAAGTCCGTTGTTCATCTTTAATGTAAGTAAAGATGAATCCGAAATGTTCATTTCGGATTGTGTGCAAAGTAAGATTCAAGAGACAGTTTATCTTGAATAAAAAAAAATTTGAAAAAGATAGACCTTATAATTTTTATAAATTATTTAATATAATAAATTATTTAATAAGATTGATACTTTTCTTGATGATAGCTTATGGCTGGACGGGATAACTTTTAAGAAATTTATCAACTTTAAGGCCGCGTAAAATTCGCGCGTAGTCTGATGTGTCTATGAAAAAGAATGCTACGTACAGATCAGGAAATACTCTTATTTACGGTGTATATATGCCGATCGATCAGGCTGAGAACTTGCCATTATTTATTCTAGGGAGCTAAGTGCTATAATATAAGACTCTAATGTAGACGTGGTTTTTATGTTAGGGGATTTCATCGCTCATCCAACCGCTCCTCTTATAACGAATTGATGGACTTTTGCAAAGAAAGTGATTGGATTTACGCCGATATAAGCAAATTGGGCATTTCGTCCAGTACATATACATTTATTACTGAAGCCTATGGGTATAAATGCTGGTTGGACCACTGTCACTAAAGCAGCCTAGCAATCACTGGTGAGCGTTTGAATTCTTAATGAAGTGTATTGGTCGGATCATATTCCAATAGAGATAACCTGTATTTTAAAGGTAACCTGTATTTTAAAGGCTGTATTAAAAAGGAAACTTGCTTTTAATAGAAATGCACATAGTATTGTTTTTTGGGGTGTGCGTGAGTCTGAAGAAATAGAAAAGTTTTCTAATATTTGTAATGATAGTTTTAAGAATATTCACTTTCCTAATAAGTTAAGATATAATGTGTAATAATTTATTCCATAGAAATTTAATAGATAATATGTATCTTTGTAACGCATATGTCCAAAGTCGAAGTGTATTAAAAAGGAAAACAAATAAATTTAAATGTTTGTGTGGCTAGAACAAGCATGTAAAACAGGCCAATAGACAAGCTAGACTTGTATATCAAGTATACATCATATACGGTAAGCCACAGGGCAGTCCTGTTTGTAATAAAATGCGGGAAAACCACAAAATATTTAAATCAAGACTTAAGTTTTGTTAAAAAAAACCAAGAGAAAATTAGAATGGATATTATTTCATCTCAACACTAATAAAAAAATCAGTAAGTTTTGGAAAAGCACTAAAAGATTAGATAGTAACATCACCCTTCCAGTAAGTGTAGTCAAGGTGTAAGCGAACCAGCTCAAATTACTAATATTTTTAAAGACTGATTTCGATTAAAACACAATTTGCCGTAAGTACTCAATACTGAGTACAGTACTGAGCCCGCTTGCCTTCTCAGGTAGGGCCATTGCTCATATTATTTCTAAGATGAAGAGAGAAATATCTGGACATGATGAGTGTTGAGCACTTGCAATATTATGCTGGTTTGCACTTATGTAGAGTTTTGGTAATATTTTTTAATTTATGTACGCGTCACTCATATTTACCACCAAACCTTATTAAAGTAATTGTTATTCTGTTAGCGAAATATCCTAATGTTGATCTTAATGACAAAAGTAATTATAGCACAATTTCTTTGGATACTGTAGTTTCTAAAGTCATCTAAATAGTCACACCACTCCACAAGACACTCAGTTCGGTTTTCGAGAAAGGACTCTCAACTGAGAGTGCGATATTAGCGTTGAAGCATACTAAGCAAGTAGGCATATTGATAGAAAAACTCCTATTTATGCTTGTTTTACAGATCTGTCTAGGGCATTTGACCTAGCATGTTATGATAAGCTGTGGGTAAAGCTAAGAGAAGCAGGTGTCCCTGAGGACCTTGTAAATATTCTTTCCTTTTGGATTTCATTCCATTTTATACGTGGTAGAACCATGCTGCAGTTATAATTGTAGTATAGTTGTAGCACGAATGGGTTGGCTCGACCGGGGAAGGACCACGATCTCACAGAATACCAGCGTGAAATAGTAGCTAAATGCTGCTGTGTTTCGTATGGTGAGTGTAGAGAACCGGAGACCATTTTTACCGAAAAAGAGGCATTCCATCTTAGTCCTCACGGGTGACAACGCATCTGCATTTTGATTCGTAATCGAGGATAGATGTAGATGTCTATGGGCTCACAACCACTTACCATCAGGTGGACTGTGACAAATAACAACCAGTCAAACTTTGTAAGATGAGGAAATATATATTCCTATGAATACCGGTTAGAGTATGGAGTGAGGCATGGCGGTTTGACGGTCAATCAGCTCATTGAGGAGCTCTGCAGCATGCATCACATTGACAATGTTTGTCTTAATAATCTTAGCTATGCTGACTGCTGAGCCCTTCAATTGGAAGTTTAAGGGAATTACTAAGCACATGTGAACGATATGCTGCTGAGCATAGCTTGAGGTATAACGAAGAATAGAGTGTGTACATGATTATTAAAGGTAGCAATAAAACTCCAGATAATATCCCATTATTAACTCTAAACGGATTACCCTTAAGTCGTGTAACACATTTTAAAAATCTTGGCCACACAATTAATGAGAATATTACAGCTACATTATGCTTGTAGCAAGAACGTGTCGGCTAGACTGTGGAAGGACCACGCTCTTACAGAATACCAGAGTAAAATAGCAGCTTAATGCTGCTGTGATTCGTATGGGGAGTGTAGAGAACTGGAGAGCCTTTTTACTGGAAACGAGGCATTTCGTCTTAGCCCTCAAGGGTGATAACGCATTTGAGTTTTGATTCTTATTCGAGGATAGATGAATATATCTATTGGCTACAGCATTCACTTACCATAAGGTGGACTGTGTGCTCGTTTGTCACCCGTCAATCCGTAAAAGAAACCATGTCTTACTGTACTGACTTTGTAATGTGGAATAACTCTGTACGTCGGCTTGTACTTTTTATTAAAAGTAAATTTTTTGGCCTTCTTAAGTGAATTAAGATCAATCACAACTCAACGTCGTTAAATAGTTAAATTAAAAACTCCATCTTCTATTCTGTCACCCCTTCGGAGTAGATGTTTTCTCCTTTATGTGGGACCCCTGAAGTCTATACCCTATTTAATAAAAACAATCATTAAATAGTTTCATAATTGACGAAGAAATCGTGTAACGTACATATAAAAAAACTTACAGTCGAATTGTAAACCGAATTTTAAAATATAAAGCACAATAAAACACAAACCTTAATCAATTCCTTCAATCTATCAGTGACGTATAGGTATTGTTTCTCGTCATATTTTCCAATATCACCAGTTTTGTACCAGCCGTCTTCAGTAACGACTTCTTTGGTGGCTTTATCGTTCTTGAAGTAACCTTTCATCAAAATCGGGCCACGTACCCAGATTTCGCCCTCCTGAAATTGAAAAGAAATAATCTATTAAAAGAAAAATAGTCGCTCATACTCATCTCGTATGTTATGATTTTGTTCATTGAAAATTACTTAATTATACACATCAGGACAATGTTTTTATATAGTATAACACCCTTATCTACTCTATGTGGAGCGTATTCAAAATGTTGCAAATAATCACCTGAACCAAGGCTGAAACATGTAAGAATTTAATTACTTACTTACTTCAAAAGTTGAATTTTCCTGAAATTATTGACCGTACTCAAACTTCCACGTTTGATATTATGTTACCTATGAAGTTACCGTTTTTTTTATGAAATAGGTTAACGTAAATTTTGTTCTATATTTTTTTATTTCTATTAATCAAAGTAATCATCCATGCAATCGCTGCATCTTTGCCAACGCAGTAGCAATTTATTGATGTCCTTCTCGAAGAAATCAGCTGGACGGGAGGCAAAAAATTGTTCAAAGGCATTTTATACTGCCTCTAGGGTATTGAATTTGTTTTCCCGCCAAAAAGTTTCATAAATAGAGAAGTTGCATGTTTTGCATGCCTTAAGCGCAAAGCGCGTAGGTATGTTCTATTAGCGCCTAAAAATTAAGAATCCAACGTCGCATGAAATGGTATCTAACAATCATATTGAACATATAAAGGATATAAAAAGCACATTGTTAGAAAGATAAATGGTTGTTGAACTTATTTTTTCAAATCGATTAATTGCTATTTTTACATTAAAAAAAAGTAGCTTATAGTGTCGATTTATCAAGTCCGCGTGGCGTGGTAAGCAATCTATACGTGGTAGAGTCATGCTGCAGTTATGTTAGTAGTATAGTTGTAGCACAAATGTGTCGGCTCGATCGGGGAAGGACCACGCTCTCACAAAATAACAGCGTAAAATACTAGCTTAATGCTGCTGTGTTTCGTATGGTGAGAAGGTGAATGGCCAATACCGTAAGCTCGTTCTGCGTAGTTCGGACCAAAGATTAATATTTGAAAACTGAAGCTAGCCGGGCTAACTATGACATTGGGACTTCAAACATCTCAGTCACCCCCGTGAGCCCGTGACCAGAGTGGCGAAGTAAGTTAAAATAGTTAATTAAACGCGATAAAATCGGTAAATATAGTTTTATCAATTTATAAAGAGGCATAATGCCTCTTCATCATTTCATTAAGAGCCCTTAAAAGTTCACAGTTGGACATACGCATCACTTATTGTAGTTTTCATGGAGTAAACAATACAACAAACAAAGTAAAATCATCTAGGGTAAGGGTAGGTAGCACCCTGCTGCTCTTATTTATAAATGCTACTAAATAATTAAAGTATTTAAGAATGTCGATGTATTTTAATTTTTCTTTGATTTGAACGCGAATTGCTGGGGGCAAAAAAAATTAAATAAATATATAAATAATCACCTTTCCTGGTCCCAAGGCTTCTTGAGTTTGCAGATCGGCAATTTTTATTTCACAGCTCCCGAAAACGTGACCGACGGCAGAGTGATTGGTGTCAGTTTTCTTGCCGACCGTAACGCCTCCGTTTGTTTCTGTTAGCCCATAACCTTGACGGAAAATGATATTTTTCTGTAAATGTAATAACAAACATCGATTTAATAAATGCATAGTAGTTTAGTAGTTTTTAATTCACAGTTATGTTTGTTTGTTTAAAAAATTGAACATTTGAATTAATCAAATCTAGGTATGCATCATGCAATTAAACGTTAAATAGATGGGATTAGGATACAATCGACCATTACTTCTTGATATATGCTAGACAAAGAGAAGGCGAAGCTAGGACTCCAAACTAGGGCAAACCCAAGATGTGGTTTTGTTGTTTTTAGCAGTTTTATAAAAATACACCAATCTTGATCTGTTTCCACTCTGCAGTTTCATATTCAGTGCTGTCAAGGACGTGTTTAACAAAGCACACAGAAGGCTCTGTACGACCTCTCTGTGGAATAATTTACCACCGGCGAGTTTTCCGGACCGATACGACCTGGGGACATTCAAGAAAAGAGCTTACTCCTTTCTAAAGGGCCGGCAACGCACCTGCATTTCCCCTGGTGTTGCGGTTGGTCATGGGCTGCGGTAATCACTTAACATCAGGTTAGCCGTATGCTCGTTTGCCCCCTCTTCTATAAAAAAGGCATACTACCGCTAGATAGATTGTATGACATATATAATTGCATACCTTCGATGGCTTTGAAAAGAGCCGTTTGGGTTTGCTTGAGCGAAAGAAAAAGATATTTACATACAGTACAATACATGGAAAAAAAAACAATAACAAAGTGCAAACAAAAAACAAAACAAATTATTTTGTTTAAGTTATATGCATAGAAGAACAGATTACGACAGAAATTAGATATGGTATAATGAAAAGATAAAGCCTTAATTTTTTTTATAATAAACTAATGACATTTTTATAAGCCATCTCGTTATAAGGTAGTTAACCCCCCTATCAAAAAAAAAAATTATATAATTATTCATTTTCAATTTTAATAAACCGTACAAAATGATATTTTTAACTCATATGGTAATATAAATATTAAATTAGCCGATAGCGTGTTTGTGCCATCTAGCGTATCTTTACGTACCATGGTGATAATCAATCAATTTTCGTTCGATAAAATGACTTCACATATAGAATTAAGTAGATGGCACTATTAAAATTTTATATACTGGAGGACTAAAGGAAATAATCTTTAAAAACCTTAATACATGTATTCTTTTGATTTATTACATAAAAATTTATGCTTCACATTAAAAAAAGATAGTAACAATTATTTGCCTTAAAATTAAATATTTCATATTTTATGCTGCCGTTCAAAACGATATTTTTAACTCATATGGTATCATCATCATCACAGCCCTTCACAAGTCCACAGCTGAACATAGGCCTCCCCCAAGTAATGCCACAAAGCACGGTCCTGAGCCACCTGCATCCATCGACTTCCTGCGTATCTTAGCAGGTCGTCACTCCATCTAGTGGGGGGTCGCCCTACACTACGCCTACCGGTACGAGGCTGCCACTCGAGAACCTTTCTTCCCCATCGGTTATCGGTTCTTCGAGATATATGGCCGGCCCATTGCCACTTCAACTTACTAATCCATTGGGCTACGTCGGTCCCTCTGATTTTACTGCGGATATCCTCATTTCTGAGTCTATAACGCAGAGAAACTCCGAGCATAGCCCTCTCCATAGCTCGCTGAGCGACCTTGAGCGTCCTCATACGGCCAGCAGTGAAGGACCACGTCTCTGATCCGTAAGTTATCACTGGCAACACGCACTGGTTGTACACTTTAGTTTTCAGAGATTGAGGTATACCTGACGAGAAGATGTGTCGTAATTTCCCGAACGCTGCCCAGCCGAGTTGAATCCGTCGATTGACCTCTCGGTCGAAGTTGGACTTACCTAGTAGGACTATTTGTCCCAGGTAAACGTACTCGTCAACAACTTCGAGCATAGTGCTCCCAACAACTACCGGCATAGGTGTGACATGGAGATTAAACATGATCTTTGTTTTGTCCATGTTCATCTTAAGACCTATCCGTTGGGAGGCACTATTGAGGTCATTGAGCATAGTGCTTAAGTCCTCCAGCGATTCTGCCATAAGGACTATATCGTCGGCAAATCGAAGGTGAGTGATGTACTCGCCATTGATGTTAATACCGTATCCTTTCCAGTCCAGTAGCTTGAAAACGTCTTCCAAAGCAGCGGTGAAGAGTTTCGGGGATATAACGTCACCCTGTCTTACACCTCTCTGCAGTTGGATAGGTTTCGAGCTCTGGTTCTGTACTCGGATAGCCATCATAGCCCTACTGTACAAACACTTCAGCACTTCGATATACCGACAGTCAACTTGGCACCGCTGAAGGGACTGCAGCACCGCCCAAATTTCGACGGAATCAAAGGCTTTCTCATAGTCCACATACGCCAGGCAAAGTGGCAAATTGTACTCTTCAGTCTTCTGTACAATCTGCTGCAGGGATATATATGTGGTCTATGGTACTGAAGCCTTTTCGGAAACCGGCTTGTTCGGGAGGCTGGAAGTCGTCGAGTCTGCGTGCGAGACGATTCGTAATGACTCTCGAAAACAGCACGTAGACGCGGCTCAGAAGGGAAATCGGTCTGTAGTTCTTCAAGAGAGCGTTGTCGCCTTTCTTAAAGAACAAGACCACCGCACTTCTGCTCCACGCCTCTGGAGTAGTGCCACCATGGAGGACGGAATTGAAGGGCTTCTGAAGGACTTCAAGTACCGGTGTTCCACCCGCTTTCAGAAGCTCCGCTCTAATTCCATCCTCGCCTGGGGCCCTGCCGTTTTTAAGGTGCTGGAGAGCCATTCTAATCTCGCTTAGACTGACGTCCGGGATATCATCGGAATAGTGTCGGATAAGACTTGCTCTTGGATGGTTACTCACACTTGCGTGTAGCTCCAACGATGATGTGTACAGCTGCCCATAGAACCTCTCAATCTCACTCAAAATCTCAGGTGTCCCGGAAACGATGCTGCCACACTCAGTCTTCAACCTTGACAGTTGGCTCTTACGGGCAGACAGATCTCTGGCAAAGACTTTGGAGCCCTGGTTCCGCTCGATCGCTTCTTTAATACGAGCAGTATTAAAGTTGCGTAAGTCTCGCCGCATGCATTTGGAGATCTGTCTGTTCAGTTGCCTGTATGCTGTCAAATCTGTTGACGATTGCAGCCTCATCTCCCGTCTAACAGCCATGAGATTAAGAGTGTGATCGGAGAGTTTTTGTGTTCTTCTGCGGCGGGTCTTGCAGAACTTAGCTCCGACCGCATGGACAGTTTCCACGAGCTTGTCATTCATATCGTCCACTGCATTGCAATCTTGTAGGCACTGAAAGCGGTTGTGTAACTCGAGCTGAAAGTTTTCGGGATTTTGGATTAGAGCACGAGGGGGGACGGAGCGTTGACTTTATTAGACGAGACCTCTCCAACTTAACGTTTAGGTTCAGTGTGCCTCTAACCATTCGGTGATCGCTGCCAGTTTTCACCCTTGCGATCACTGAAACATCACTGAACAGTTGGCGTCTGGTCGTCATAATGAAGTCAATCTCATTTTTTGTCGAACCGTCGGGGCTCGACCAGGTCCACTTCCTGTGGGGCCGCTTCTGGAAGAAAGAGTTCATCATAAAGAGTCCCTCTTTCTCCATAAAGTCGGCCAGCTGCTGGCCCCTTCGGTTTCGTTGCCCTACTCCAAATTTCCCTAACTTCAGCTCACCGTTTTCTCTTGTGCCTAGTTTTGCGTTGAAGTCTCCCATCAACACCGTGTAGTGGGTTTTGGAGGAATGCATGACTTTGGAAATATCCTCATACATTTCCTCCACCTCCTCATCGGAGTGTGCCGAGGTTGGTGCGTAAACCTGTATGACCTTCAGCGAATACCGTTTGGTGATTCTGAGTATCAGGTACGCGACCCTCGTCGACACACTCCCAATCTTTACAACTTTGTTGACGAGAGACTTGTGGACGATAAATCCGACACCTCCTTGGGACAGATGGTCGCCCTCCCGGTGATAGAACAAGTTGCCGGATTCGAGAATCACCGTGTCCTCCCCCTCTCTTCGGACCTCGGATAATCCTATAATACTCCAGCGCAACTTGTCTATCTCTTCTTCCAGCTCCAGGATCTTCTCGTCAGTCCTCATTGTGCGTGCGTTAAATGTTGCCAGGTCGAGTCGTCGTAGGTGGCAACCGAACCTCCACCGGAGATTTTTAGCACCCCCTGCCCCGCCGTTACCATGGTCGCCACCGTAGCCAGGAATAGCGGGGCCGCCGGGGACTGGGGGCCGTCTATTTGTGTAATTGTTCATGGGGGGGTATATTGCCATAGTTGCCACGCTTGGCGAGCGGGTTGGCAACCGCAGTTTTTTTTTTGTCGTACAGTTGCTGTTATCAGGAAGATGCTGCTGCCCATCTCCGGCCTGTTTCCCTCTGTCGCCTTTTACCACACCCACGGGAAGATATGGGGTAGTGGATATTCTTAACCGCCACTACACGGCAATATGGTATAAGTATTGAATTATTAAACCTTTAAATACACCTACCTTAATTAAATCTTAATACTAAAGAGTCCTGTACTTACTAAAGTATGAAGAAATGTTTATTGAATTAAAATTTCATTTTTAACGAATTTACCTTTTCCTCGCCGATTTGCACTTTAACACACTTATATTCATCACAAGGAACACTGTTATCCTCCCATTTTCACTAAAAATCTTTGAAAAAGCATACATTTTCAACAGACATAACAAAAACAAACATAAACATTGAAATGATTATGTTTGTTTTGTTTTGTTGCGAAGTGAAACTTGTAAACGTATCGCCCACACGCCCGCGCACTACTAAACAACTTCAGAGCAAAGCCCAGCTTTTGGTCCCGTAGTAATTATTATATAAACATTTCGTAGTTATATTTCACTATAGAAAGTTTTGCTACAGGTTAGAAAGGGAGCGATCGTCTTCTCGAAAGCCCGGTAAAAAGCCAACGCGTGCGAGAGAGACGAATAAATCAACTCCTTAATTTTGACAGTCCATTGCTTGTTCGCTTTGATACAGAGAGAACACAAATTAGTGTATTTCGAATTGAAAGCAAACTGCCAAGTGTTGACGTTACATATATGCTACGAGGTCATGACTTGGATAGAACAGAGGGCGCGCACGAAATTTGTTATACTACTATGTTATACTTGATATTATTGATTGAGCAGTTTGATAGAGCAAGCCCGGCTTCTGGGCTTCTATGGAGGCTTCGCCATCGTAGACAAAAGTTCAGTATAACAAATGCATAAGCGTATGCACGCACACACGTACACGTTTAGATTCATGTACACGTTGCAACGTAGTACAATTGGAACTCATGTTATATATACAGACCAAGGGGAAACAAACCAGATGCTACATATAAACTAAAAAGAGACAATTGTAGATATTATGGCAAACAACCCCCCCCCCCCCCCATTAGACAGTCTATGGGAGAATCCCATATTTAGCAGTGGAAGTTTAATAGGCTGTAACGATAATGGTAACATACTATTTGCATGCTGCTTACTAACATTTTTATTCAGTACAGCTAAAGCGTCGGACTGGGCTAAGGGTGCAGCGCCGCATATAATTCCCTTTAGAGATTGAAGATGCTCCGGAGTCACGGCTGGGTTTTTACCGAGGAACAACACTGTAAACAAACAAACCATTATAAATAATATTCGGATCAATCCCTATAAGATATGATCACTAAACATCAAAAACTCAATTATCTACGTCTGCCTGTGTATTATGATAAAGATTTTTCTATCTTCAAATAAAAGTTTTCCATAGGATAAAATACAACATAAACAAATTAAAAAGTTCAGTTATATGAATAAGATTTTTCAATTGTTTCATTTTTATATTCCATCGGGTTATAATTTATTCGATGAATAACTTTTGTCTGACAATTATAATCTGCTCTTAAACTTATAACTACTTAATGTATTTAGATGCAGTTTTCAGGGTCGCGGTCACGGGAGGTTTTTTTATAATATTCCATGCATATTGTCTGTATGGATATTAGAGCAATGATGGTTTTCTGTGATGAAGTTGTAGAAAGGTATGTCAATCAATGGCAAATCACACCCGTACTAGGTCAGGCGAGTCGTTTGTTAATTAATAATATGGCACGCAGAATGAGCTTCAAATTCATTCATTTAAGTATAAGGTCATTTGCAGTCGTCACTTTTGGCAAGCGAAATAACTATTAGACGTAGTATAACCGCGGCTCCACATTATCGCCGTGAAGCTCCGTAAACAGACGTGAACGTGAATGTGGATGGTTTTCACGAGATTCACGCACGTTCACGCCTGTCCCCCGATCAGAGTCGGTATTTTGTCCCGCGACAAAGGGTTCACGCAACTTTCGCGCGGCGTTCACGCGTACACATCCACATTCACGGCACCGTGCCAGTTCGTTTTGGACTACAAAGGCGTACGGACGACGTATTTTAGTCATACACCATTTTTTTCTTCCAACGCTTTCTAACGAATTTCTAGTTTTGGATGTCTAAATAGTGATATGTTGCCATAGCAAATAAAGTTATTGCAGCAGCAGCTTCTACGTCCGTTTCACGAACGATTGTGAGCATCCCGTGAATGTGGAGGGCACGACTTGTGCCTGAATTCATGTCGTGAATACAGTGGCGACGCAAGACCTAAATTTTATGTGGGCAAGATACATTTTGCGAGGCCCTCTGCCCTCGCAAGAAGACGGATTATATAAAATGAAAAACAAAACACTTGACATTATGAAATTTTTATTTTTACAAAATCATTAAGTACACCAAACAATTTCAAAGAAAAAGGAAGAAATAGATATTCTGCTTTTTATCCTGCAGAATTTTTTAATTATAGCCTCATAATCCAGCTTATATGCTATATCTATATCTATGGGATGCTATATCTGCCTCGATAGATAAAACTTTCAACGCTGAAAGTCTTTTCTATGATATTGCATTCCTGAGATAATTTTTAATGAGTTTTAAGAAGTTCCTTCAGCGGAGGCTGTACTGATCGGTATTGTTAAATGACGATGTAAATATTTGGGTATATTCTTTTAAATTATTTTCTGTAACTTATTGGAGAAGCGGTTTTATATCTGTTACGAAGTTAGATAAAATATATAGGTACCATTAATTGTAATTCTCCACATAATTCGTAAGGTTGAAAGTCACTGCTTTCACCCACTCGCAGGCTGTGTGTAAATCTTGACAGTTATTTTAATATTAGATGGTTTGGAATATTTTTTTAACTCGTTTAAATCATAAAGGAAACCAAAATTTTCATAATGTGGGTTTAACCATAGAACCAAAAGTTTAGCCATAAATCTCAAATCTATATTTGTTATAATTAAACAAGCATGGTGTTGAAAAAATCTGTTTAATGCCGACTTTTAGGAGACTTTTACTTTTTTTAATATACTGTTAAATACCAGACAAGCATTTTCCGAAACAAGTTTGTCGATATTCTTTAATCCGATAACAAAATGTACGTAAACGTTCTAGAGCTTTAATTTGTTTTCACCTATAGTGACAACCCTACCAAAATAGGTAACAATTTTGCAAGTTCTTAAGAAGCTTTGTGTGTTTATCTATTCATGTGCGTACAGCGCAAAAATATACGAACAGTAACCACGTGGGCTGTTGTGCCGCACCCTTTACTCGATTGTCACGCGCCCACGACTAAATAGTCAGTAATCTATGTCTAACAAACAGAACGGGGAATCCTCAGCCTTTGTCGACCCCATAGATTACTGTATATATACTGGTCGCCCCGCAGCGGGGATTCCCCGTCCAATAGCAACGCAAACTAATGTTGCTAGACTGAATAAAAACATACTTAGTTATGTCCATAATATCGATTCATGACAATGAAATTTTTTCGGCGCGTTTACGGTTTTAAGTAATGCATAAACCTCCAGGGCGCGAGGGCCCCTGGATCGCGAGGCCGTAGGCGGTGGCCCACGTCGCCCACGCCTTACGCCGCCTCTGCGTGAATATGCGCGTGAATTCACGGTGATAATGTGGAGTCGCCATTAGATCTTTGACACCTTGTTGAAACTTGATTAGCTTAGCTCATCCAGCGGTAAACTTGTTAGGGCGAGCGAATCGAGTCAACAGCACAAAGTAAAACATTGACAATTGTTTACATTTGGTTACACCTTTTATAACTAGGGCCGATGCAGATGCAAAGGTAAACCCTTTTGCTAGCGTCATAAACGGAGCGGAGTAAAAGTCTAAAGCGCGTGCTTTTGCTTTTCATGTATTTTCCCATAGACAATTTAGTTTTTGATTATTTTTTAATATCTTTTAGGCAAATTCAGATTTATAGTCCACAAACCTTGTCTGCGTTGAGCTACAAATAATGCAAAAGTTACGGAGGAGATAGATTTCAAGGAATCGTTTTCTTGCGCCATGGGAGATCCGCTCCAAAAAAACAACTACTGAACCTGTAAAACTTTTTATAAATTATAAATTATATATAAATATAGAAATCTGAACTATTGAAGAACTCTTGAAATTTTACACAGCAGTGTATATTTGGGTCTAGACGTGCTATCGGTGATTAATGAAGTGAAAACTACTTAAGGCGCGTTGGCAACTTTTGTACGAGTAAAATCTTATGAATTTGAGTCACCAACATGCTAATGTTGATAGTATACGAGGGGTGATCCAAAATTAATGATAATGAAAATAAAACACGGTAATTCAAAGTTAAAATAATGATTTATTTTTCTACATAGTCTCCTAACAAATCAATACATTTAGTCCATCTTTTTCCTTAACCCAGGATTCCCTTTGAAAAAAATTATTTGTCTTGACCCTCCCAAAACGCTTCAACAGCGACCATTACTTCGCTATCGTCTTCAAATTTCTTGCCTCGGAGGCGTTCCTTGTGCCGAAGAAAGAGGTAGAAGTCACTAGGAGCTAGATCTGGCGAATAGGGAGTGTGTTCGCAGCAGCAGTTTGAATCCCGTTTCTTGAATGGCAGCCATCGCAACTGCGGCTTTGTGAGCCGGTGCGTTGTCTTGATGTAACAGCACTCCAGCTCGCAGTTTGTCGCGTCTTTTTTCCTTAATGGCCTCCCTTAATCTTCTTATTTGGTCTGCGTAGTAAGAGCCCGTAATAGTGGCTGCCTTTTCCAAATATTCCACCGTAATTATGCCTTGAGCGTCCCAAAAAACCTTTCTCGCCGAACTTGAAACTTTGAATTTCTTTGGCATCGGTGAGGAGGCTCGCTTCCAAGTCATCGATTGTTGTTTCGTTTCAGGATCAAAATGGTGGATCCAGGTCTCGTCCATAGTCACAAAACGGAACAAAAAGTTTTCTTGATCTGCTTGGAACTTTTCGAGATTGACCCTCGAAATGTCAACTCGATTTTTCTTTTGCTCGTCGGTTAACATTCTGGGTACCCAACGCGAGGAGACCTTTTTCATATGCAACTCGTTCGCACGGATTTTTTGAACGCTGCCATATGAGATCCCCGTGACCTCAGCTACATGCCTGATGGTCACTCTTCGATCTGCCTACACAACATCTTCGACTTTTTTCACGTTGTCTTCAGTGAGGGACGTGGATGGGCGTCCTTCGCGATGTTCATCTTCAGTGGATGTTCTGCCCAGTTTAAACTCCTTGGCCCAGCGTGCAACTGAGCATAGAATATGGAGGAGTAGAGTCCCCCAAATGTTTCCACTAAGTCACTGTGTATGTCTTTTGAAGACATTTTTTTCAAACAGAGGTACTTGATGACAGCTCTAATTTCCTTTTTCTCCATGTTGATGTTATCTCTTTGACAGTTCGTATTCAAATGAATGTATCTCTCGGAAATCCCGTGATCTATTTATATGATTTTTTAGGCAGACGTACTGAGTATATAAGCAAGCAAAAAATATTTTTTTTTTGGATTTTTATGCGGACCCGAAGTAACTGATTATCATTACTTTTGGATCACCCCTCGTATCTGTAGTTATAAGTATGACGTGTTGCGAGTGTATGATATACGCGTTAGACGCTTTTTGCCTGGGTAAAATTTGCTTCCATGCTGTAATAGCAGTCATTTAAAATAAATGGTCATTAACTAGCAGCAAATATTTATTTTGTAGTTTTAAGATTTAACTTCTATCGACAGACCCCAATGATTGTCAATATTTACGTAATACATACGGTATTTTTGTAATCCCATCACGTAGAAAAAATTATGTTTTGATTTATTTTTCTAATGAATATGAGTATATATTAATAATAATATACATCTAACGTACTGTCAGTTTGGTGAGTCCCCACAAAGCCATGTTTTAGTATGTTAAAACAATTTTTTAAAGAATGAAAAATTCTTATGTTCATTATAATTTTTATGTATTTTACTTTGTTGATTTGCTTATCGCGTGAATACCTCGTAACTCGTAATAGATATAGCATAATAAAGCTACAAGTTGCGCAAAGTGATCGCGGGTCACGGACGGTGTTTTATGCTAGTCTAAAACAACAGCCCATTAATGTTGTACTTAATGGCTTTGTAATATTAATTATGCATTTTATTATTTATTTATTTACGCTTTATTTGCCAGGCAAAGTATAAAAAGCTGACTTAACGCCACAAGGCATTCTTTTTTTATATAGAAGAGGGGGCAAACGAGCATGCGGT